GGGCTAAACCTGACTGGCATTAAAGAACAGAGATATGACAACGATGTACAAAATACCGGGAAGATTTGGTAAGATGATGGATCGACTATTCGAGAAGCGGGAAACACGTACACGAGGGCACAGCTGGAAGTTAAAAACACAGATGAGTCACAGGGATGTTAGGAATTATTTCTTCAGCTTCAGAGTCGTCAAGAATTGAAACGACCGGGACAGGGAAGTAACACAGGCAGGACCCATACACAGCTTTAAGAATAGGTATAATAGGACCCACAAATGAGCACATGTACACACACAACTACATTCGAACAAGAGTACATCGCATCGCTACAAGACTACGTCACAGCACTAAAATAATATGTGCACACGTAGAACTGTACGTAAGTAGGACCGTAGCCCTGTACACCACTACACACGTACACAAGTAGGACCGTAGCCCTGTACACCACTACACACATACAAAAGTAGGACCGTAGCCCTGTACACCACTACACACGTACACAAGTAGGACCGTAGCCCTGTACACCACTACACACGTACACAAGTAGGCCCGAAGCCCTGTACACCACTACACACGTACACAAGTAGGCCCGTAGCCCTGTACACCACTACACACGTACACAAGTAGGACCGTAGGCCTGTACACCAATACACACGTACACAAGTAGGACCGTAGCCCTGTACACCACTACGCACGCACACAAGTAGGACCGTAGGCCTGTACAACCACTACACACGTACACAAGTAGGACCGTAGCCTGTACACCACAACACGTACACAAGTAGGCCCGTAGCCTTGTACACCACTACACACGTACACAAGTAGGCCCGTAGCCCTGAACACCACTACACACGTACACAAGTAGGACCGTAGGCCTGTACACCAATACACAAGTACACAGGTAGGACCGTAGGCCTGTACACCACTACACACGTACACAAGTAGGACCGTAGCCCTGTACACCACTACACACGTACACAAGTAGGACCGTAGGCCTGTACACCACTACACACGTACACAAGTAGGACCGTAGCCCTGTACACCACTACACACGTACACAAGTAGGACCGTAGGCCTGTACACCACTACACACGTACACAAGTAGGACAGTAGCCCTGTACACCACTACACACGTACACGTGCAGAAGGACTCCAGCCACGACACCCCCAAGGCAACTGAACAATCCAAACCAACCATCACACACCGATCCCTCTGTTTCCACCCCCCGCACCACAGTTACAGTATTAGAACAGAAGTTGAAGGTTTGGTACACAAATGCAGATGGATTAACGAATAAACATGAGGAATGGCAAGAAAGAATCAATGAGAAGTCCCCAGACATCATAGCAGTTACAGAAACAAAACTCATGGAGACAATAACAGATGCAATCTTCCCACCAGGATACCAGATCATGAGGAAAGATAGAAGGGCAGGGGGGGAGGTGAGGTTGCTCTGCTCGTAAAAAACAGATGGAAATTCGAGAAAATGGAAGGAATAGACGAGACGGGAGAAAGAGACTACATAGCAGGTACACTTCAGTCTGGGAACACAAAGTGGTCATTGCAGTGATGTATAATCCACCACAGAACTGCAGGAGGCCAAGAGAGGAATATGAAGAGAGCAACAGAGCAATGGTGGACACACTTGCTGAGGTGGCAAGAAGAGCTCACTCCAGCAGAGCAAAGTTGCTGGTTATGGGGGATTTCAACCACAGGGAGATTGACTGGGAAAACCTGGAGCCACATGGGGGTCCCGAAACATGGAGAGCCAGGATGTTGGACGTGGTGCTGGAAAACCTCATGCACCAACATGTTAAGGACACTACCACAGTGAGAGGGAAGGATGAACCAGCAAGATTGGACCTTGTGTTCACCCTGGGCAGCTCAGATATTGAGGACATCAAGTATGAGAGTCCCCTAGGAGCTAGCGACCACGTGTTCTGTGCTTTGAATACATAGTAAGCTGCAAGTGGAGAGAATAACAGGAGTTGAATGGGAAAAGCCTGACTATAAAAGAGGGGACTACATAGGGCTGAAGAACTTCCTGCGGGAGGTCCAGTGGGACAGAGAACTGGCAGGAAAGCCAGTAAATGAAATGATGGAATATGTAACAACAAAATGCAAGGAGGCAGTGGAAAGGTTTATTCCCAAGGGTAACAGTAACAACGGAAGACCAGAACGAGCCCCTGGTTTACCCGACGGTGTAAGGAGGCATAAACAAAGTGCAATAGAGAATGGAAAAAGTACAGAAGGCAGAGAACACACGAAAAATAGGGAGATCAGTCGCAGAGCCAGGAATGAGTACGCACAGGTAAGGAGGGAGGCCCAGCGACAGTATGAAAATGACATAGCATCGAGAATCAAGACTGACCCGAAACTGTTGTATAGCCACATCAGGAGGAAGACAACAGTCAAAGGACCAGGTGATCAGATTAAGGACAGAAGGTGGAGAGAACTCACAAGAAATGATCAGGAGGTATGTGAGGAGCTGAACAGGAGATTTAAGGAAGTTTTTACAGTAGAGACAGGAAGGGCAGTGGGAAGACAGCACAGAAGGGAACATCAAGAGGGAATATACCAACAAGTGTTGGATGACATACGAACAACTGAGGAGGAGGTGAAGAAGCTCTTAAGTGACCTTGACACCTCAAAGGCGATGGTGACAGGACAACATCTCCCCATGGGTCCTTAGAGAAGGAGCAGAGATGCTGTGCGTGCCTCTAACCACAATCTTCAACACATCCCTTGAAACTGGGCAACTACCTGAGAAATGGAAGACAGCTAATGTAGTCCCCATATTTAAGAAAGGAAACAGAAACGAGGCACTAAACTACAGACCTGTGTCTCTGACATGTATTGTGTGCAAAGTCATGGAGAAGATTATCACGAGGAGAGTGGTCGAACACCTGGAAAGGAACAAGATTATAAATGAAAACCAGCAGGGGTTCATGGAAGGCAAATCTTGTATCACAAACCTCCTGGAGTTTTATGACAAGGTAACAGAAGTAAGACACGAGAGAGAGGGGTGGGTAGATTGCGTTTTCCTAGACTGCAGGAAGGCCTTTGACACAGTTCCCCACAAGAGATTAGTGCAGAAGCTGGAGGATCAGGCGCACGTAAAAGGGAGGGCACTGCAATGGATAAGGGAATACCTGACAGAGAGGCAGCAACGAGTCATGGTACGTGAAGAGGTATCACAGTGGGCGCCTGTTAAGAGCGGGGTCCCACAGGGGTCAGTTCTAGGACCAGTGCTATTTTTGATATATGTGAACGACATGATGGAAGGAACAGACTCTGAAGTGTCCCTGTTCGCAGATGACGTGAAGTTGATGAGAAGAATTAAATCGGACGAGGATGAGGCAGGACTGCAAAGAGACCTGGACAGGCTGGACACGTGGTCCAGCAACTGGCTTCTCGAATTCAATCCAGCCAAATGCAAAGTCATGAAGATTGGGGAGGGGCCAAGAAGACCGCAGACAGAGTATAGGCTAGGTGGACAAAGACTACAGACCTCACTCAGGGAGAAAGACCTTGGGGTGACCATAACACCGAGCACATCACCGGAGGCACACATCAACCAAATAACCGCTGCAGCATACGGGCGCCTGGCAAACCTGAGAATAGCGTTCCGATACCTTAATAAGGAATCCTTCAAGACACTGTACACTGTGTATGTTAGGCCCATACTGGAGTATGCAGCACCAGTCTGGAACCCACACCTGGTCAAGCACGTCAAGAAGTTAGAGATAGTACAAAGGTTTGCAACAAGGCTAGTCCCAGAGCTCAAGGGAATGTCGTACGAGGAAAGGTTAAGGGAAATCGGACTGAAGACACTGGAGGACAGAAGGGTCAGGGGAGACATGATAACGACATACAAGATACTGCGGGGAATAGACAAGGTGGACAGAGATAGGATGTTCCAGAGAGGGGACACAGGGACAAGGGGTCACAACTGGAAGCTGAAGACTCAGACGAGTCACAGGGACGTTAGGAAGTATTTTTTCAGTCATAGAGTTGTCAGCAAGTGGAATAGCCTAGCAAGTGAAGTAGTGGAGGCAGGAACCATACATAGTTTTAAGAAGAGGTATGGCAAAGCTCAGGAAGCAGAGAGAGAGAGAGGATCCAGTAGCGATCAGTGAAGACGCGGGGTCAGGAGCTGAGTCTTGACCCCTGCAACCACAATTAGGTGAGTACAATTAGGTGAGTACAAGTAGGACCGTATGCCTGTACACCACTACACACGTACACAAGTAGGACCGTAGGCCTGTACACCACTACACACGTACACAAGTAGGACCGTAGGCCTGTACACCACTACACACGTACACAAGTAGGACCGTACGCCTGTACACCACTACACACGTACACAAGTAGGACCGTACGCCTGTACACCACTACACACGTACACAAGTAGGACCGTATGCCTGTACACCACTACACACGTACACAAGTAGGACCGTACGCCTGTACACCACTACACACGTACACAAGTAGGACCGTATGCCTGTACACCACTACACAAGTAGGACCGTATGCCTGTACACCACTACACACGTACACAAGTAGGACCGTAGCCCTGTACACAACTACACACGTACACAAGTAGGGCCGTAGGCCTGTACACCACTACACACGTACACAAGTAGGACCGTAGGCCTGTACACCACTACACACGTACACAAGTAGGACCGTAGCCCTGTACACCACTACACACGTACACAAGTAGGACCGTAGCCCTGTACACCACTACACACGTACACAAGTAGGACCGTAGCCCTGTACACCACTACACACGTACACAAGTAGGACCGTAGCCCTGTACACCACTACACACGTACACAAGTAGGACCGTAGGCCTGTACACCACTACACACGTACACGATAAATAATTTATTGCATTTTAAGTTGACTTACCTGCATTGATATCAAGTTCATATAATAATAATAATAATAATAATAATAATAATAATAATAATAATAATAATAATGATGATGACTTACCTTATATCATAGGGGAGGGTGTCACATCTGTAAGAGAAAATAATACGGTAAATATACACTTCTGGTTAATATATACTTCTGGTTAATATATACTTCTGGTTAATATATACTTCTGGTTAATATATACTTCTGGTTAATATATACTTCTGGTTAATATATACTTCTGGTTAATATACACTTCTGGTTAATATATACTGCTAGGTAATATACACAGCTGGGTAATATACACTGCTGGGTAATATACACTGCTGGGTAATATACACTGCTGGGTAATATACACTGCTGGGTAATATACACTGCTGGGTAATATACACTGCTGGGTAATATACACTGCTGGGTAATATACACTGCTGGGTAATATACACTGCTGGGTAATATACACAGCTGGGTAATATACACTGCTGGGCAATATACACTGCTGGGTAATATACACAGCTGGGTAATATACACTGCTGGGTAATATACCCTGCTGGGTAATATACACTGCTGGGTAATATACACTGCTGGGTAATATACACTGCTGGTAATAATACACTGCTGGGTAATATACACTGCTGGGTAATATACACTTCTGGTTAATATACACTGCTGGGTAATATACACTGCTGGGTAATATACACTGCTGGGTAATATACACTGCTGGGTAATATACACTGCTGGGTAATATACACTGCTGGGTAATATACACTGCTGGGTAATATACACTTCTGGTTAATATACACTGCTGGGTAATATACACTGCTGGGTAATATACACTGCTGGGTAATATACACTGCTGGGTAATATACACTGCTGGGAATATATCACTGCTGGGTAAATACACTTCTGGTTAATATACACTGCTGGGTAATATACACAGCTGGGTAACAAACACAGCTAGGTAATATACACTGCTGGGTAATATACACAGCTGGGTAATATACACTGCTAGGTAATATACACTGCTGGGTAATATACACTGCTGGGTAATATACACTGCTGGGTAATATACACTGCTGGGTAATATACACTGCTGGGTAATATACACAGCTGGGTAATATACACTGCTAGGTAATATACACTGCTGGGTAATATACACTGCTGGGTAATATACACTGCTGGTAATATACACAGCTGGTAATTATACACTGCTAGGTAAATATACACTGCTGGGTAATATAACACTGCTGGGTAATATACACTGCTGGGTAATATACACTGCTGGGTAATATACACTGCTGGGTAATATACACAGCTGGGTAATATACACTGCTGGGTAATATTCACTGCTGGGTAATATACACTGCTGGGTAATATACACTTCTGGTTAATATACACTGCTGGGTAATATACACTGCTGGGTAATATACACTGCAGGGTAATATACACTGCTGGGTAATATACACTGCTGGGTAATATACCCTGCTAGGTAATATACACTGCTGGGTAATATACACTGCTGGGTAATATACACTGCTGGGTAATATACACTGCTGGGTAATATACACTGCTGGGTAATATACACAGCTGGGTAATATACACAGCTGGGTAATATACACTGCTGGGTAATATACACTGCTGGGTTAATATACACTGCTGGGTAATATACACTGCTGGGTAATATACACTGCTGGGTAATATACACTGCTGGTAATATACACTGCTGGGTAATATACACTGCTGGGTAATATACACTGGCTGGGTAATATACACTGCTGGTAATATACACAGCTGGGTAATATACACTACTGGGTAATATACACTTCTGGGTAATTACACTGCTGGGTAATATACACTGCTGGGTAATATACACTGCAGGGTAATGTACACTGCTTGGTAATATACACTGCTGGTAATATACACTGCTGGGTAATATACACGATGGGTAAATATACACTGCTGGGTAATATACACTGATGGGTAATATACACAGCTGGGTAACAAACACAGCTAGGTAATATACACTGCTGGGTAATATACACTGCTGGGTAATATACACTGCTGGTAATATACACTGCTGGGTAATATACACTGCTGGGTAATATACACAGCTGGGTAAATACACTGCAGGGTAATATACACAGCTGGTAATATACACTGCTGGGTAATATACACTGCTGGTAATATACACTGCTGGGTAATAAACACTGCTGGGTAATATACACTGCTGGGTAACAAACACAGCTGGGTAATATACACTGCTGGGTAATATACACTGCTGGGTAATATACACTGCTGGGTAATATACACTGCTGGTAATATACACTGCTGGGTAATATGCACTGCTGGGTAATATACACTGCTGGGTAATATACCAGCTGGGTAATATACACTGCAGGGTAATATACACAGCTGGGAAAATATACACTGCTGGGTAATATACACTGCTGGGTAATATACACTGCTGGGTAATATACACTGCTGGGTAATATACACTGCTGGGTAATATACACAGCTGGGTAATATACACTACTGGGTAATATACACTTCTGGGTAATATACACTGCTGGGTAATATACACTGCTGGGTAATAATACCTGCTGGGTAATGTACACTGCTGGTAATATACACTGCTGGGTAATATACACTGCTGGGTAATATACACTGATGGGTAATATACACTGCTGGGTAATATACACTGATGGGTAATATACACAGCTGGGTAACAAACACAGCTAGGTAATATACACTGCTGGGTAATATACACTGCTGGGTAATATACACTGCTGGGTAATATACACTGCTGGGTAATATACACTGCTGGGTAATATACACAGCTGGGTATATACACTGCAGGGTAATATACACAGCTGGGTAATATACACTGCGGGTAATAAACACGCTGGGTAATATACACTGCTGGTAATATACACTGCGGGTAACAAACACAGCTGGTAATATACACTGCTGGGTAAATAACACTGCTGGGTAATATACACTGCTGGTAATATACACTGCTGGGTAATATACACTGCTGGGTAATATGCACTGCTGGGTAATATACACTGCTGGGTAATATACACAGCTGGGTAATATACACTGCAGGGTAATATACACAGCTGGGTAATATACACTGCTGGGTAATATACACTGCTGGGTAATATACACTGCTGGGTAATATACACTGCTGGGTAATATACACTGCTGGGTAATATACACTGTTTTTCAGTGCGTTGATAATAAGGGAGACTTCGTTTGGGTTAGTCGGAGCTAGGAACAGTGTGTTCGGGTAGTTGCCAGTGAGGTAGTCATTTGGTGGGGTATCTGAGCTTGGGATATTATTGGCAAGGTTTTGACCTATAGTGGAGAAGAAATCATTGAGTCTGTTTCTGTTGGTGGGAGTTGGGGTTCATCTGATTTTGCTAATTTTATTTCGCTATGTCGTGATATCTTTTTTGTTCCCAGAATTTCTGATAGGGTCTTCCAGGTCTTTTTTATATCACCTCGTAAGTTGGATAATCTGTTCTCATAATACAATATTTTTGCCCTTCTTATCAGGCTGGTTAGGATTGACGAGTAACGTTTTGTTTGGTCTCTGGTTATGTGACCCATTCTGTACTGTTTTTCATATCGGTGTTTTGTATTTATGGATTTGAGAATGCTGGGTGTTAGCCAGGGACTGTTCAGTCTCTTAGCTGTCATCTGTTTAGTTTTTTTAGGGCAGTGCTTGTTATAAAGGTATTGGGTCTTTTATAGAAAATTATTAAAACATTCGTCAATATCTGTATAGATTTCTAGCTCAGTGTGCTAGTCAATGTTTTGTTACTGCTGTTGTGAAGTTATTAATGGCTGCCTCATTGTGAAGTCTGAAGGTGACTTTAGTAGTGTCTTGGGTATTTTACCAAGAGTTGTTATGAGGAAATAGGGTAGTGGTCTGTGGTATTATCTGTAATTATGCCTGATTTTTAAAGGGATATGGTGTTGGTCCAGATGTGGATCAAGTAGGGAAACACTAGTCCTCTGTAACTCTTGTAGGTTTTTGTTACTGTTGGTAGCAACATGCAGTTACTCATTGTGTTTGTTGAATTCAGTAACGTGTGGGTCCTGGTCTTGCAGGAGATTTATAATTGAAGTCACCTGGAGTAGTAGTGATCTTTGTTCATGCGTGCATCAGTTATCATACTTCCTAGGTTTTGACTAAATTGGCTAATGTTTGATTGTGGAATTCTGTAGATGTTTATCACTGTGAGAGGTTTTTTGTAGGTATTTGGATTTGAATTTAGCTATTATAATATTCCCCATGTTCATCCCTTGTGCAAGTATTAGTGATACATTCTAGTTGGTCTGAGTAGTATATAGCTGTGCCACCCCCTTGTTGGTCTGGCCTACAGTTGTGTATGGCTGTGTAACCAGGAATGGCATAGACATTTGTAGTATTAGGCTTTAGCCAGGTTTCAGTTAGTGTAATAATGGACATATTGGCATGCAAGGAATTTAGTAATGCTAGGAGGTCATCATAATGCTTGCTTAAAGATCTGATATTGTAGTTAAAGATAGTTATGTGTTGTTGGCTCTGAGAAGTGCCTTTGATTGTTCTGCTGTGTAGTAAAGCAGCTTTGATGTTTGAATCATTTAAGTCATTAAATAAGAGGTTGGTATCAGGATCAATGCTTGTAATCATAAGATTTGTAGTGAATCTATAGTTAGAATTAAGTAAAAAATAAAGTAAATATTCTAAAGCTAAAGAAAATAGCACCTGAATTATTTAACAAATGTAAAAAAATAATGAGCTAAGGTAGTTTTTTAAAGCTAAAATAAAGGAGACAATATAAAAGGGACTAAAATAATTTGTGGTGAACAAATAAAGTGATGATCAAATAATGGAGCTTGGGAATATGATAGTAGGCAGTACTTTAAAGGTAATTCTTTAAAGTTAGAATTAAAATATAAAATTATAATATAAAAGGGACTAATATATAAGTTGTGGTGAACAATAAAGTGGTAATCAAATAAATGAGCTTTGGAGTATAATGGCAAAATAGTGAACTTATTAACTTTAGCACCTGAGAATAGCACCTTGATTAGTTTAACAATTGCAAATATATGAT